TCTTTAAAAGGATAATTTCTACTGCTTTGAGAATTAATATCATTTTTTATTTTTTATATTCGAAAGTCATACTATAAAAGAAACAATAAGCATTTTATACATATAAATTTCATAGAACAAAAGTTTTTCTTTTAGTTTAAAAATTATATTTATTTTTTTAAAAATATTCTTATATATATAATTATTTTTGTTGTAAACTATAATTGTTTTCTAATACATTATCAAAATATTAAATATATTATATAAATAGTGTAACAAAATTATAATTTTATAAAGAAATATGTGGAAAGTCTTGACCAAGTATTCAATTCAAAGTTGGAATCTAAAAAGAAAAAAAACATGAAATTCCAAATTTTGTTTTTTTCCTTATATTTTTATTAAAATTTTAAATTCCAACTTGGAAATTGTAGTGGATGGATAACCCTCTTTCGTATCCCATATTCAACATCTCAAAAAATGAACGGTTCAGATAGAATCTAAATCGTTGAGCAGTCGGTTTCACTTAAAAAAACGGATGCACTATAACAAATCACAAATTTTAGAGAAATAAAATATATTATCTCTGTCTGGATAAAGATAAGGCTTTCATCTACCTTTGGTATATTCCCTTTCTCTCTCTAGACTCTTTCTTCCTCATTGTATCTACACTCTTTCTCTCTCTTCTTTCTGGTTTATTATTATATATATAATACATAAACTCTCTAGGTTTCTTCATATGTATCTGCTTTTTTCTCAGCACAAGTGAAAGCGAAAGTGCAGGCTATGTCGATTGCGTTTGAGAGGAATAGTACACCTGATCATCAGATCGAACGGCCAGGATTTATGCACGGAATGACTTTTGTTCCGATCTATAACTCGCCAGATCTAGGCGTCGGAGAAAGTATGGTTCAGGTGAAGCGGGAAGATGAGGATGATCGGACTTCTTCTTCGTCGTCTTCTTCTATTGGTAGGAATAGTGATGACTCACCGCTGGCGGGAGGGTCTTCATCAAATGGATGCCCTGGAGAAGGTGATGGAGAGGAGGTTCAGAGTCCGTTTAAACCTGGTGCTCTCGATAATTTGGAGTCTTTGGAGGAGGTTTTGCCGATCAAGTATGTGGTTTTACTTTTTAAAAAATTTCTCTGTTGATTTTTGGTTAATTTGTTTAATTTAGTCTTTTATTTTGAATTTTAGTTGATGACTTAAGTTTCTTAATATTCCAGATTAGGTTTTGATTTTGTGGATATTTGTTAATTGATTTGTAGTAGCAACAAATTAACTCTGCCATATCTCGGTAATATTTATGACTTGCGAGGGAAATGGACAAGGAGTCATTTGCTTAAGTTAATAAAGTTACCTTAGTATAAACCACACTAGGCAAGTCTCATTCAGCGAGCTTCGACCCAAAAAGTCAACCCAAGGGGTTCAAAATTGAGACCTCCATTGTGGAAGTGCCAAGCCAAACCATATGAGCTACCCAAAGGGTTAAAGCAATCCATGCATTATAATTGTTTTGGATCACAAACCAAAACAATCCAATAGAACTCTGTAGGTAACTTTTAATGTTGTGTATGTATCTATATGTGGTTTTTTGCATGCTTGTGATGGTTCTGTATAAAGAACTAAGGAGTGGTTACATGTTTCCTTGGGCTTGTCTTTTGTCTTGAGGAGTGAGCTATCTAACTAAGCTTTGTTTTTCATTTTGAGGTAATGTATGTGGTACCTTGGGGTGGGACTTGTTTGTCTGTGTGTGTGTGTTTGATTTGAGCAGTAAAAGAAAAATCTGAAAGTTTACTTAGGTAATTATATTTCAAGTAGCATGGTGCAGGTACCTGAAAAGTAGTTTGGAACTAATTTTAGAGTGTGACTGTATTTGCAATCTTACTGGAGAACTTGTTTTGAATGTGATTGATGTTTCATATTATCTTGTTTCTGAATATTGATTACCAAGAATTTGTACAAAAATTGTATACGGTTTATAACAAAACCATTATCAATGCACTCAAGGGTGTCGCCTAGTATCATTGAAGTGGATTGAGCCCTATGAGGTTTTAGGTTTAATTAATTACCTAGAGAGAAAACACTAGGTGATTTTTTCTCATCTATTCTAGCCTTGGTGGATAGAGTTGCGTGATACCTGCTGTAGATGGGAGGTGACAAGTATTCCATGGAATAAGTCGAGTTGCATACAAGCTGGTCAAGACACTAAGGTTGTTAAAAAAGATCCATTATAAGCAGAAATTGATAAGTTCTTAACCTTAATCAATGAGTTTGGTATCGAAACAAAATTGAGTTCAACTTCTAAAAACCTCACGAATAATCTCATTACCTTCTTGAATGGGATCATGTCCTTCATTACAACTTTTTACACATGCTTCTAGAGCTACTTGATTAGCTACGGCACCTATCCAATTACCCCAAGGTCGTCTTAATCTTCCCCCACTGAATTTGTCCATAGTTATTGTAGTACCTTTGACAGTGGGGACTAGTATGTAGTACCGGGAATCACAGTGTTTTGGGAGGCGAGAAGCGGAAAAAAGCGACGAGGGCTTGCTTCAGAGAAGTGAGAAGCGAAGCGCGCACTTTCTTTTTAAAAAGCGACATTTAGTATAAAAATAAAAAAATATTAAATAACTAAATAGAGGTAATATAGTCTTAGATAAAAAGAAAATAGATAGTCAATAATACTCATAAGTCATAACATATAAAGCAAAAACCAAAAACATAATTAAATCACAAAGACTCAAACTCCTATTCATCAACAAGATCCTCAAACTCTTCAAGTGCCATAACCAAGAAATTAAAAAAAAAGAGCTGCTAGCATACACATTGATCACAAAATATAAACGAAAAAAAGCAAAATAATTGAAAAAAACAGAGGAGACAGTCAGTAATTGTGAACAGAAATAGAGCAGATCGCAACAGAGATGAAGAGAAGAAGAGAAGAAGAAAAAACTACAGTAGTCGCATTGTGAAGAGAAAAGAAACTCAGAGAGAGAGATGAACTAATAAACATCGGTTAAAACTTACATGCAGTCGCGGTCGAGGTGTGAAGAGAGAGACAGTCTCAGGCGCGGTCGTGAAGGGAGAAGAAGCGAAAGAGGAGTCGTGAAAGAACAATTAAGTTATGTTATATAGTTCAGATTTTTTTTAAAAAAAGCCTGATTTTTTTTTAAAAAACCTAATTGTCTTTTTTTTTTTAATTTTATATAAAAGCGCTCTTTATTGCGCTTTTGCCTTAGTGTCGCTTCTCGCTTCTTTATCTGAAGCGAGCACCTTTTTCAGATCGCATGCCTCAGGAGAAAGAAGCGCACTAGTGTCGTGTCGCTTTGAAGCGCGCTTTTTTGCGCTTTTCACAACACTGAGGAATCATGGTTCCATCATGGGTGCACTGTGCATATCTGTTCATAGTATGGATCAAATACTGTCTGGATAGAGGTTGGGGGACCACTACACCAGAAAGCAGCCTGATATTCTTCTGAGATGCTTCTGGAAGCTTGGAGCATCACTTCAGCATATTCAATTCTGACCATTTTATTATTTTTTATTTTTCTAAAAAGGACCACCAACAGAGGCGGAATCAGGATTTTCAATAAGGGGTTTCAAAATCTGGAGAAATAGGTAGCATAAGGGGGTTCGACATCTATTATATATACATATAAACTTATTTTAACCATGTATAAGTAATATAGTTTTCCGCCGAAGGGGGTTCACATTGAGGGTAGCTCCGCCCTTGACCACCAATGTGGACACGTGGATGTATTAGCCATGAAAAAGAGAACAGTTGAATATTTTGAGTTTATAAGTCATCCACCATTGGGTGTGTTAGCATTTCAAAAAAAGGAGGAAGATAAGCAGTAAATAAGTGTATATTAGTTTACCTATTATTATTGAAGTTTAGATGTATCCTTTTTTTGGTCTGAACTGAAGTCTTAGATAGTTAAAGAAATGCAGAACTTCGTTTAGTTTTGTTAGTATTTAAGTTTTAATCAAGTCACTTAAGAACGTGGATCTTTTTGGAGAATGAATTGAGCAGTGCAGGAGACAAAGTAGACAGATTTCTAGCTTCTTAGAGATATTTAATGAGCAGTGAGTCTGGTAGTCTTATTCTTCTCATTGTTCTAATTGTGCTTGACTGCCATGTTTCAGGAGGGGCATTTCAAGTTTTTATGCTGGTAAATCGAAATCTTATACTAGTCTAGCAGATGCAGTATCATGTTCCTCGCTTAAAGATATGGTCAAGGCGGAGAATGCATACTCTAGAAAACGCAAGAACCTGCTTGCTCATAGCAATTTCTTTGGCAAGAATCGGAATCACTTCCCAAGAAATAATAGCTGTGGGTTATACAAGAGACCAATAAGCTCTAGAAGCTCATTAGCTCTTGGTGCAACCTCCAGCTGCTCTGAGAGCAATAATAGTTCGGAGTCCTTGAACTCAAATGCATCGTCACCTCATTTCTCTCTTCCCCCTCTGCCTCCACAACCAAGAAGATATAGCATTGAGCCCTCATCATCACCTCCTGACCAGAAGCTTAGTCCATGGAGGTCTTTCTCCTTATCAGATCTGCAAGGGGCTGCTGCTGGAACTCCCAGCCTAATGGGCATAAAGGAATAGAAAAGATGTCTTAATGATAACATAATTTTATGTCGCCCTATGAACCTAACTTCAGATAGGTTTCAATGGAGGTTGGCTTATTTTAGAAGTTATAGGGTTCAGTTTCTCGCCCCACCTCTGTATTTATCCCCCAAATCATAATACCATCGTCTTTGGCATCTGTAGAATGTAATTGCTTCTGCTTACTTCTTAACCTTTGGGTTTCCTCCGTAACCTGTTGTATATTTCAACTGTGGTGTATGTCTAATTTAGAGATTCTATTGCAGTTTTTTTTTCCTTTATAATTAATTATATATGTAGTTATGTTTTTGGTGTAGTCCTCAATTTACGCTTCCAACTTTATGTGCTGTGCACATATATTATTACTAGATAGAGCATGAGTCGTGCTTACATCAAAGGATCATCATTTCAGAAAAAATGGTGTAATATATAAAAGACATAATTTTTACAATAGTAGGTTAAAAGTGATACAATGTCATTGCATTGGAGGAGATAATAATATTGCATATACGTGGGAAAACAAAAGCATCTGCGTTTGTGTATTACACAAATTTCTTTTTGCACTTAAAATGTTTCTCCAGATAAAGGTAAGACACAAATGTTCTTCAAATTGATCACAGTGGCCCTGCAACCACAACAATAGCTGCACATGATTTTGTTGGAATTATGTATCTTAAAATTTCAATTTTGAAATAAAACATAGCAACTCCAGCAGAAGCTTATATAGACATAGCCAAAATTGAACTATGATGGCAAAATCCTCATGCATGGAAAACCAAAAACTGAAAAACAACATCAGATGTCTTTTCTTTTGTAAGTTTGTTGCTGTAAAATCAGGAAGAACAATGATGTCTTACATAACAGAGAGGACCGTTTGGCTATTGCTTCTCAATTACCGGACTTGGAAATTTTTTGGATACTATTAGATTGGCGTCTTATTCTTACCAATCATAAAATATTTCAAGTGATAACTTTTACTTAGTAGGGTCAGATGTTAAATCTTAGTATCATGATCTCTAACAGAGAAATTATTATGTCGTAGATTAATTTTTTTCCATATATAACTTGTCTTATCATTTCAGCCTTAAGGAACCTTTCATGACGGTCTGCTCACCTCAATTCAACAGCTTCAAAGTAATCTTCAATGTTAGTGATATCCTCGAAAACTCCTAAAGCTCCTTCAATGTGCTTCCCCAAGTTATAGTTAAAACGCAAGAAGAAAATATCTCTGCTACCACATAAAATATATTAAGAAAGAAGCACTTCCTAATAGATTTTTCATCCCAATCAAGAAGTTCATCGGTCCTTTTTCTTCGTCATAATCATTCGATATTTGAAATATACTGACCCAATCAATTTAGATGTGTGTGCAGATAGAGCACATTAAGGAAGCTGCCAATAACTTGTTCAAACATGTCGGGCACTTCCCATGCTAGTGCGATGAGCCTCAAGAGTCAAGTCCATCTCTTGCAATAACAGATGGTAGAATAACTACAAAATTCATAATTTAAAGAGTTTGAGGACATCTTGGAAGCATTTGACAAAGAAGCAACCAGTAATCATGTTAGCTTCAATTAATATGTATGAGAAATAATTACAGATAAATAAAAAGATGATTCAGGAACAATAAATTACATTAAGTGACTAATAATGTGAGATTTCTATTTAACTTTCGTAGTTTTGTTGCATCTCCATTTTTCATTTTTTTTTTGTATTTGATTATCCTACAATAAGAGTCTAATAAGCTTGCTACACAAAGTATTATAATTATATCTTTTATATGTGTTCTCTATATTGATTTATTTCAAGGCTTAAGCTAAGAGTTAAAGCACTGATAAATATTCTAATAGCATGAGTTGTATGCTTTGTTATGTTGTGTCCCTAAATTACGGTATTTTTACTAAATTGAACCTGCCGAGGTTTGTGAGAGTACTTAGACTTAGAGTTCGTTTGAATTGTCTTATTTAACGTGTTTTTAAGTCGATATCTTTTAAGCACTTTTGGAGTGTTTGGATGATTTAAAAGAGTGCTTATAAGCTAAACTCATAAAAATAAATCAAAAGCCAAAAGCAAATTCAAACAGGCTCTTGGTTCATTTGGAAATTACCCGACAAGTTAATCATAGATTCTTAGGTCATTTCATTCTTCTATCCTAAAACTTCAAAATTTCCATTTATGACAAGTGCTTATTGTCTTGCTTCTTTATTTGTTGACAATTGCTCAGTACTTCATAGCTTCACTATTTTCTTGGCAAAAGTTTTAAGGAGGAGACCACACCACATGAAAGACCAATGATTGTTTTCTAATACTTTAATGGTTCTCCTATATATAATCTAATGGGGTGCCTATTGTAATTAGTTTTATGGACGTAAAGAATGGTTTACTTGTCACCAGGAGTAAGTAAGTAAATATTTTGTTCTAATTTATATGTAATGAACACTCATCAATTAGCATGCAGTGCTGTTATTTGATTTAACTTGCATACTCAATTTTTTCTGTGCAATTTACATCAAAACCAAGTTAAATAGAAATAGTTCCAACAAACTACAAAGCAAACATAAAAGATGGTTACTATGACAAATTTCAAAACCACAAACAAATAGAATGAGTGATATTTTTTGACTTTAATAAATAAAAAAACCATTATGCCTGGTGAAAAAAACAAATTAACTCAAAGACGGGAAGGAGAACTGCCAGAAATTTAGGATTCAAATAGAAAAACACCTCCATTGTCAGTAGTCAAATGTGAAATTTCATCACCAAATTATTGCACCAACTCAGAACTTGAAGTACTCTCGACTAATCTCTTCAATTTGCTCTCCTCCCATTTCTGATTCTCTTTTAAATTGAACACTCAATAAGTGTATCAACTCGGGAATGCAGAAAAACTAACCGAGACCCAACAAAGTGAATGTTAACAAAGAAAGAATAGTAGAAAACTCACGATTGATAGCAAAGAAGGCAGTAAGCACAAGTGACGTCGATGAACTGCAGTGTCTTGAATAAAGTGAATCATCAGACTGACTACCTAGAAATGGTAATATTTAACCCTATTTAGTTGTACGTAGAGAAACAAAGACTATTGAAAAAAATATAATTGAACTAATTACAGCAAATTCCACGAATATCTGCAGTATGAATGACAGACAATGTATTGAAGCAAACGACAAGAAAGTTCTTAAAACGTACTCCACGTAGAGGGAGTCGTTTTAATACTTTGGCAAATTACCATCTAGTTATATCTTATATTTTTTTTTAAAAAAACAAATTAAGGGAACTCTACTACTCTACACAATTTTCTGAAATCATTCCTACCGCACGACAGGACAAAATATTAAAGAAAAACTACTATTTGAAATATTTATAAGCTCTCTTATGGAGAGTAATAAAGAATTATCTGTTGTCCTATTCCATTAATTCTCACAACCAAATATGCATAAGTTCATTGTCTGTCCATTTTCTAATAATAAAAATCATGTTGCTTTTTGCTGTCACTCTTCTTTATTATAGATATTGTTACAATTTATTTTAGATATAAATTGCATTCAACACTTGACACTTCCCATAAAGATCAATATTCCTCCTTTAAAATAGTTGAAACTACGACTCAACCATAAAAGTTGGAGGTTGAAGCCTGCTAACTAAGAATCCTGATACTCTACTGCAATTCAAGGTGCAACATTAACTTTTTCCTTTTTTTTCTTTTTAACCCAAATGATCAGAATTAGGTAAAATAAAACTGAAGGTAGTATTTGCAGCATCAGAGGGTTGACTACCGATAAGACACAAACATAAATAATATTTTTGCTCCATGATTTTAACCTTCAATCACTTCAATTAATCAAGTCATTCTCCAAAGGTAGATAAAGCTAATGCAGCTTCAATAGACATACCTGCAACTAAATTTTGAAAGGGAATATAGCTTTAAACATGAGAAGCTTCGATTTAGTATGATCTCCTAAGCAAAAGCAACATCTACAACAAATTAAAATAATAATTTTCTAAAAACTATAAAGACAATGAGATCAAAGTTCATCAACTGAAGATAAAAAGCTAGCAACTTATTTCTAATTTAGCCAAGAAAAAGAGATTCAGAGCAAAATAATAGTAAATATAACCCATGGCAATATGAGTTAGGGTTTCAACTAAAAGGAAGAATGAGAAGATAGACCAAGCACATAATAACGATTACAGATACAAGAAGGAATAAATAGCCATCAAAGTTTTGGGGAAATTCAAATATTAGAGGAAATCGAAGAAACAATTAGAAAGTAGCCTTACCTGAGATGAATGGGGGAAAATAAAAAGAGATTTGCAGCGATCAAAGTAGAGAACGATGAAGGGAGAAAGTTGAAAGAACAAATAAATGATGTGTCAATTGAAGATATCTCTTTGGAAGACACGTAACCTATAATGAAGCATTGAAAAGACTAAAATATCCTCAAATTTAAATTAGAAGACATCAAGCACTCATGTTGAAACTAGCCTTTTATATATAAGTAGTAATAATGAGACCCAATTATTGTTCTTTGATACTTCGCTTGTCGGTTAGTGTGGCTTAATTATGGCGTCATGTTGTGGTTGGCGAGTAGACCTAATGGATTGCCATCTTGAGATGTTCATAGGTATAATTTAGGCCTAACCCATCGAACCCCTAAAGTTGGCACTAATTCACTTAGACACCTTCACTAAGTTTTGTTCATTTTAGACACCTCATGTTATGTCATGTTATGTTTCGTTGTGTTATTTTGATACTTTTTAATGACATGACATAGTGAGTGTAATACACTCAATATCAGCACGTGAAAGACTCATTTGATCAAATTTTATTTTATTTTTTTCATTTTCGTCCTCATTTCTCAGCCACCATCTCTCAAAATTTTAACTCCTTCAATGGAGAAATTGTCACGCCCCGAACCTACACCCTGGGCGTGACTGATACTCGAAGACCATTGTTGGCCTCAAGCGAACCCATAACCTGACTTACTTACCTAGAGGATGACGTAAACATAAGAGACATAACTCAACAAAGTTAAGTTCATGTAATAATTTGGAATGTTATAAAAGAACATTCAACTTTCCATCAAGGCAAACTCAGGTCTCAACATGAAATAATGATAATGAAAAAGACTAAGAAGTAACATCTGACTGTCTACGAAGCCTCTAGAACAAAGAGGGAAGTCGGGACAAATTTCACAACATCCTAATGAACTAAAATTATAAAGCAATGAAAAATGGATCTTCCGAAAGTAAGCAGACTCACAAACTGACTCTGAACTGCTCAGTGGATCAACGGTGCGCCGGATGCCGATTGTAACACCCTAAAACGAACTAAGGTGAACTAGAGCTTCGAGATTGTTTCTTGAGTTAATTTTATTATAAAATGAGTTATATTAGTGACCTTAGAAGTGTGTAAAGTTTGGAGGTCAAACGTCCTAGAACATCCATGACGTTCGAAAGGTGTGTCTTAGAAAAGTGCTTGTATGTCTTTATGTGTTTGAGTGAGTTTTACGTGTTTATTTTGCTTGAAATTGGTGTGGGATGTTCCCAAGACACATACGACTATGTTTAGGGGTTTAACATCCGGGAACGATCCTAACTAGGACCCACAAGGGGCCCTAGAGAAGGGCTGAAGACTTAAGTCCAAAACGTCCTGGCAGTGTCCACCAACGGGACCAGTCGACGGCCAGTTGATCAATTGACGACTCGTCAACTTGGTCCGTAGATTGGACCTGTAGGTCTGCAGGTATTGAGGGTTGCAGACCCAACCAAAAAACCCTCACCAATGGGGTGTCGTTTGACACACGGTCCGTTGGTTGAGAGTCGTTGATGCTGCCTGCAAAAGCTGTTTCGCCTGCTGCCTTGACATGGGGTATTTTGTAAATTCACCCCAAGTATTTTATAACCATAGGATGATATTTTTAGGGTTTTAAAGTTATATTAGTTTATTTTTAAGTCCTAGACCTAGACAAGATCCCTCACTTCAAATATTCAAACTCCCCCTCTAAAGAAAACTCTCTCAAAGTCACCATTGGAGCTAAGATTCATGGAGGGAAAGGAGGTCTGGTTTGGACGTGTTTCTTCATCAAATTAATTGGGTTTTTATTATATTTGAGGTATGGTATCCATCCTTGAACCCTCTTATATTCAAGGAGTCCTTTCTAAAAGATTGCAAAAAGGGTTTTTAAACTCTACTTTGTTCTATCTTTGACTCTAAGCATGGGTATTTTTGTAAAAAGTGTTAATGATTAAAATGTGTTTATTCTAGTATTAATTGATGATTTTAATGTCAAAACCCTAATGAACTCATGCTTATGCATATTTTAAACTTTTAGCTTAAGAAATGGGTTAAATGAACATGTTTGTGTAGGGTATGAACTTTGGTTTTCTTGTTTTGTTATTATGATTTAGCTACTGCCCTAAGGGCCTTATTATGATGAAATATTGAGAAATTGGTTATGGGTGGTGATGGGTTCGTTAAATGGTGAGTTGCTTATATTGTATAATATCTTATTATAAATTGCTTTTGAATGGTATGGTCCACCTTCTTGGTGGCGATGTTTACTTGATGAATTTTATTATACTTAGTATTGTAAGTGTGATTTTGAAGGCCTAATATGTGAAATAAAGTAATAATGAAGATGGTTCTTGTATTGTGTATTGTGGAGCTTGAATTACTTAGTATTGTAAGTGTGATTTTGAAGGCCTAAGTGATGTACATGATTATGTGAAGCATGTAAAATGTGTGATTTGATGAATGAAGATCTAAATCATGTATAGAAGTTAATATAAATGAAATGATGCCTATATGCAAGCTGTACTCACATGTATACACACACACTTAAATGAATGAATGAAGAAGCTAAGTTAAGTCAAAAAGGGGAGTTTTAGGGTGAACACTCTTCGTGAGTTGAGATGAAGTGTTTAGTAGCAACCTCACTACAAGCTAAGAGAATTCTAAGATAGATTGGGGGATGAATGCCCTTTGTGAGTTGAGATGTAGTGTTCACTAGTTATCCTTAACCTAGTTAATAATGTTTAGAATCCATGGGGAGTTATGCCTAGCACTGAGAGGATATGAAGAAGAGGTGGTTACACTTCGTGAGTTGAGATGTTGTAATCCAATGTACCTCTTGAGATGAGTACTTCTCGTTAGTACAGATTGAGTTACTTAGTAACAATATCCTTATCCCTTAACTATGCGCCCGCATAGATATAGCTATTGGGCAAGCCATGTAAAAGCTAAGAGAATGACATTACTCTAGGCAAGTGAGGATCCCTCATCCGATAGGGGTTAATGTCGGGATTCCATGTCTAGCTCTCATAGTCTATGTCGGTTAAGCTAACTCCCACAAAAGTAATGAAAATGCTAAGTCTCCTAAAAGAGTGTACTACTTAGGGTAGGTAATGGAATGGGACGGTATTTTTCCGTCGCACTAGGTAGGAATTCTGAAAGAAAGTCTTGGTGAGTGTTGTATGAATTGAATGAACTAAGTCTCCTAAAAGAACGTACTACTTAGGGTAGGTAGTGGAATGGGACACTATCTATCCATTGCACTAAGTAGACCTTTCGAAAGGGGAGTCTTGGGTGCTAAGTCTTCTAAAAGAGCGTACTACTTAGGATAGATGGTGGTATGAGACGTATCTACTCATTGCACTAAGTAGGCACTTCAAAAGGGAAGTCTTGGTGTGTTTCTTGGGTGTTCTTTTAATGTCTTGTCATTTAGTGGGGGCTTGTTCTCCTTAGGTGAGTAAGCCGAAAAGGGGTAGTCTTGAGGATCACTTTAGTGTGTATTGAAGGAGACATATGCGTACTTCCTTCATGTATTACCTTGGAGAGTCTTAGGATAACCTTAGTTAGGGAAACTCCTATGGAAATGAGTTCACTTCCTCTTTGCTTGGCCTTGGAAGTTCACTATTTTAGGAATATGATAGTTTACTGTAAAGGTTGTAGAAGCATACTGTAATATTTTGGAAGTTTAGTGTAAATGCTCCTTTTTGCTATGGTAATTATTCTCTAAGTGTTAAATGATAATTCTTATATTGTTTTACTTCTGCATTCATGAATGATTTACTTAATTGGCATGAAAATGTGTTTTTACTAAAATGTCTCTTTTTGCATGTTTATGCATATGCCATACTTAGTACCTTATTTGAACTAACCCCATACTTTTCTATACTCTATAAGTATAGGTTGGAGGCTTTTGAAAATTTGAAGATCAACCTTGGGAAATCTACTCTCTCAAGATTTGATATGTCCTCATATATTCGAGGACATAATGTATGTCTCTTTGTTTTATTATTAAGACTTATTATGTATTTTTTCTTTAAATGTAAAGGGTCGTGTCCCTAAAATATTATGTCGTGTCTTTAAGTTGGCTTGTAACGATGAAATACTCTAAGTATTTATGAAAGACTTCCTTCTTATCAAATGTTGTGAAAAGTTTTAAATTCCGCACTACTTTTTATGTCTTATGTAATGAACGATAGTTAAGGGCTTGTACAAGATCCCAAAGGGTCAAGTACTCCCGGTCATGACCCAAGGGTTCTCCCTAACTTCCAGGGGGTGCTTTCAGGTCATGACAGACATAGTATCAGAGCATAAGGTTATGCGAAATAGTTGAGGGTCTAAAAGTCTCACAAGCCACGTCTAGTAGTATATTGGTCATTGGTGTGAGTCGCGAAACATCGATGGATAAGAGGCTATAAGATGATAGACGTTTCACATTCTTTTCTATTCTAATGTCGTGCCTTAGAGTTGAGTTCTATAAGTTGTCTTCTCTCTACCTTTTCTTTTTGTGTTTATAGGGCATGAATACGAGGATATCAACTGCTAGAAGGGAGGAGGGAGGTGTAACTAATGAGAGGATCCCTCCCCGTGTTGACCAAGTTCCTATTGTTGGCCTAGAGGAAGAGAAAGAAGAGGTTCCCCTTTGAGAACCTCAAGTGCCACTAGAACCTCAAGTGCCCCCTATGCCGCAAGCTGCTTTTATTGAAGGAGATATGACTAATGCGGAGTTGGGGGCTAACCTAATGAATTTGATCCAACTCATGACGACTCAAGCTCATGTTGTCAATAATCACTTTGTTGCCCAAGCTAATAAAGAGGGTGTACCCCAACCTAATGCTAGTACTCCCGTTTCTACAATTCGGGATTTTATGAGGATGAACCCTCCTACTTTTCATGGCACTAAGGTGGATGAAGATCCACAAGGTTTCATAGATAAGGTATTCAAAGTGGTAGATGCTATGGGTGTGACCCCTAGGGAAAAAGCAAAGTAAGCCGCTTTCCAACTCAAGGATGTGGCTCAAGTGTGGCTTGAACAATGGAGGGATGAAAGACCCTTAGAAGAGGTCTAGTTGACTGAGAGGAATTCAAAGAGGCTTTCCTAGATAGG